ATATTTTAGTGTTTTGGATGATTTTTGTTACTGATTTGCTGTGCAATGACCAAGACACTGAAATGAGAAACACAGACTGTTCTTTAAATCAGCAACCACAGTTGTAGAAAAGCATCATCGCACTTTCACCTTCAGAGTGTGTTCGTTCATCTGCCAAGGTGGTAAAATAAACAACTGTGTTCATTTTTGACCAATGACGCAGCTAACCCAGTTCAAGATGGCCGCCACAGGTAATCCACCACAGTAAACACACGTCCGACATGCGCATATCTTTGAGTAGAAACAGATGTACAGCAGCTCGTGTGGACGACGGGGTGCAGTACCTACCTGACCCAGCAGGAGGAGCTGGTCAGCACACTTCTTGGTGTGTTCATAACTGGAGCGCTTCACCTCCTGCAGGTGAACCCGATCCAACTGGAACTTCTGTGGAGCGGGACAGGCGGAGCAGAGTTAGGAGTGCTTTTGTTTTTACAAAAAACACTTCCTGAGATCGGCGGTCAGATCTTGAACGTGTGGGAGAGACAAACAGAACCACGTCGCACCGCCGGCTCTAAACGACGAGCCAAAAGAGACAATTAAAAAGAACGGCGTGCAGAGATGGAGAGCGTAATTATAAAGGTTTTAAAAAATTCAGGAGGCTCTGGTGCCGATGCCTCCTCGTTTCATTACTGGTGGCTGATTTCTCATTATTTCATTACACGCTGCCTGTTGAGAGGCTGTTCTTTTCTCTTCAGTCAGTAAATGACAGTCATTAAGCATAAAACGGCAACAAACGCTAAAACAACTAGTTTTTTTTATAAAAGCTATTCATATGGTCTTTCTGCTCCTGGTTAAGATGCATTATCTGTGTAACAGAGTTCAAAATGTACAGTAGTCCCTCGATACTTCACGGTTCGTTTATTGCGAACTCGCTCCATCACGGTTTTTCAAAATAAAATCGGACATGACCCACAACTGGCTGACTGATGGATGAGCCGCACGATCGGCATGGAATTTTTATTTAAAATAAATTATTTAGCAACTCCTGCACCTTTGTACAGCCCACACTGCAGAATAAACTGATCAGCTGATCTCTGTGCAGAGCGGAGAAGTGGGCGTGGCTAAAAGCGCTTGCAGGTGGCTGAGAACAGCGGAGGCAGGGAGCTGAAATCATGACATTCTGTCTCTTTTAGAGTGTTTAGAGTTTAGAAACATTATTTAGAATATTGCAAGAGTGTGGGAAGGGTTTAAAACACCTTTATATATATATAAATAATAAAATAAACTACTACTTACTACTTGTACTACTATTTCTACTTCACAGTTTTGCACATATCGCAGGTCTTCAAGGTGCGTATCCCCTGTGATAAACGAGGGATTACTGTAATCCGAAGTTTTTGTTTATTTTAATGTTAATATATTTGTGAATTTTAAGTTATTCTCTTTTATTTTGAAATGTGTCAAAGGCAGAAATGACGTAATTCATTTCGTTCTGACAGCTTCCTCTCCCTCACTTTGCCACTATGCAATGCGAGGTTAAGAACTGTGGGGACGATGTTGGTGGGGTTTTCTTTTTTTTTTGGCTTCGAAAATGTAGCTATTTAAGTTATAAATCTTTTGTTATGTTGGTTGATATGAATTTTACAACGTTACTGTGATTTTATTTTTCATTCTGACCACAAAACGGAAGTTTTTAATGAACATTTTATTGTCCCAATTGTAAGATAATTTGGCGCCATTTCCAGTTTAGTGCGCCCTCTTGTGGTTGCTGGCTGTAATGGCTCCGCAGATGGTTTACCACCGTTTCACCGTACAACATTAATTTTTGCAAAGGTGCAGGACACAGAAGACAAATGATGCGTTTGTTTTCTGCAGGAGAGAACGTAAACAGTGAAGAAACTGTATCTGGATGCTCAGTCCTTTGAAGAAAATAAGCATCGTTACATCTGCCAGTTAAAACCAGTGGGTGAGCGGAGAAGCCAGTTGAGTTTAGTAACTTGTAAGATTTCTGTTAGCTGTCGGAGCCGTGGAGGTTAGTTATTCCGGTCAGACTTCTGCAGCTGAAGCCGTTTGATGAGCCAAACGTCGCTGCAGAAGGTCTGGCCAACTCTTCAGAAGCTGCAGCTCTGATCACTGCATGGCCCCTCATTAACAAGCAGCAGAAATGTCATAAAAATACAAGAACATTCTGTTTAAAAAGAGGATAATTCACTAAAAAGTTACACGGACATTTGTGACTTTTTAATTAGGCTTCTAGCTGAAAGGAGCGACTCCGTAATATCCTTTGAGTGACTCGTTTATTCTTCCTGTCCTGTGTGAGGAAGAAAAGCTGCATTTGCACAACGGGCAAACTTCTTATTATCTCCCACACGTTGTTTAAACTTTCGGCTTCATTGTGCGGCGTCACGTTTTACCAGCAGACGATGAAAGCAGCGGCCTTCAGCCGACATGGCTTCAACTATTTTCCACAAACTTTAAAGAGCGAGTTGCTACAATAACCAGAGATGACGAAGGAAGAGTCGGGGTATTGTTTGAAACAGCCTTGGATGCCGGCTCGCTTGCGTCGTCGGCAAGATTCATCGATTTCAGACACCGCAGCACAAACGAGAGGTTTTTCTTTTAAAACGAGCGTCTTGCCGAAGGCTACAACGCCTCAGGGGAGACGTTGGGAGAACTGAACGTTTGGAGCTGAGAGAGAAGAAGAAATGGTCTCAAACTGATCTAACAAAGTTAAGTTGCGTCCTCTGGACGGATTAAATGAAAAATTGTTGAAACATTTCGTCTTTTATCCAAAAGACTTGGTTCCCCCCCCCCCCCGTCAAGAAAAATCATGGAAGAAACGAGCGCCCTGCCGAGAAACACTGCATGCGAACAAGACCTGGGTCAGATTGGAAAAAAAAAAGCGGATTTGCCACATTCACCTGCAGTGAACGCAGCCTTTGATCCACAGCCCCCCCTGCTCCCCCTTGGTACCTTTTGTGCATGCTCAAAACCCTCCACAACCTAAATTAATGGCTCACTCTGTTCTACATATGTCCTTGAAACGATTGCCAAGACCCTCCACATTCTGGTCCCGGTGAGGCCATCATCCAGAATTAATGGGTCTTCCAGACCCGACAGTGATCATGGTTATGTTGACGCTGTGAACAACAGGGTTAATGTGTCCATGAAGGGGTTGCCCTATGGATGTACCGTAATTTACAGAGTATTGAGCGCAACAGAATACAAGCCACACCCACTAACAAAAAAAGTGAACAAATACAGAGTAGGATGCACTTCACTTGTGTATAAGCCGCGGGTGTCGATGTTGTAACATGAGATATTTACACAGAAAGATTTTTAAAAAACTTTTAATTAAATACGTACAGTAAATGTTTGTTTTTTCTGAACAGCACCTGTAACACGGCTGGTTAAAACAAACAAACAAACAAACAAACAAACAAACAAACAAAAAACAGTAGCCTACCAGGAAGTCTAACAAAGTTAAGTCAGATCCTCTGGACAGATTCTTCTTGCTGAAATGTTTTGTCTTTTATCCAAAGGACTTCTTCAGTCTGAGGAGCTGCAGTAAACACTCTGCTCCCCTGTGTAAGCCACAGGGAGGTAGCGCTTTCATTTCTAACCCGAACTCGAAGCCCGGCCTGGACCGATCCAGATTAGGGCCGGTCCGGGCCGTTATGATTTGATTAATGTGCGGGCCGGTCTCGGGCTTTGATGCAGTTTTACGAACCGTACAGCACAAATAAAACGAGAAGATGAAGAAAGAAAGACGAGTGCAGCAGTTAATCAGACTGTGGAAGAGATCGCTGGCGCATTGCGCAATAATTGCGCACGTGGGCTCAGGCTTCTGCGGTTTTACGACTCACACAGCCCAAAGAAAACTAAATAAGAATGCACAATTAAAAATTGTGTTCATCTACTTGTTGAGGAGGAGGCAGGTCCGACCGGCTGGTTTAAAGACGTAAAAATGTTGTGTTAAGCTCAGATGGACCCGTCACCGGCCGCGCACGTCCGCTGACCAGCCGCGCACGTCCGCTGACCGGCCGCGCACGTCCGCTGACCGGCCGCGCACGTCCGCTGGCCGGCCGCGCACGTCCGCTGACCCGCCGGTTGAAATGGACTTGCGACCTGTCCAGGTGTACCCCACCTTTCGCACAGTGACTGCTGGACATGGGCACCAGTGACCCCCGCTACCCGAAAAGGAAGAAGCGGATAAAGATAATGGATGGATGAGCTGATCACCGGCCGCGCGCGTCTCCGCACCTGCTGTCATCTGCGGTGAAGGAAGTAGCAGCATCTACCAAAGCCGAAGGGAGAGCAGCGCGTTCAATTAAAATAACCTTGTTCTGTATTTTTCCAAATAATTTTGCTCTAAAAACATTTTTGTTCATCGGTGTAATAGCCGATCTTTACAGTTGATTTTTTTTTAGGCTATTTGTTTTGTATGTTAATATCCATTTGGTGACTTGTTAATAAACATTAATCTTATATCTTCCTTTCATTACGTTTTTAAAACTATCGTGTCAAACTGATTTACTTACAAAAGCAGTAAAAGATTAATAAAAAATAAAAAAAGTATTTTTTTGGTGGGGTTGAGCCCTTTAACTACCGGTAATCTGTTGGGTCTGGATAGGGCTCGAAAAAAAAACTGCGGGCTCGGTCCAGATTTATTAGGCCCGAATGCAACTCTACAGGGAGGGGAGAATGGGAAGGGTGGGGGGGATGTATCCCCCCCCCTCCCCAGTGGACCAGTGAAACCAAATTTTATTGGTCCACCTGTTCGGTAATTTCATTGGTCAGATTCTTTTTACCTTTATTTATACAGGTCGTCTCAGTGAGTCACGAGGACCCGCCCTCCAAGAGACGTGTATTAGCAGCTCTGTGAGCACCCGGGTGTGTCGAGGCTGAATGTTTTGGCAGCACGAAGCTCGTCCAAAAAAAAAAAAAAAAAAAAAAATAAAATAAATAAATAAAGCCATAAATTAGCCACAGCGTTCAACGCGTGTGAAAAAAGTAGGGGCTTAAGTCTGGAAATTCCACAACTTGGAACATGCAAATGTTTGTTTTTATTTTTATTTTTTAGAAAGAAGAACTTGTCCGTCTCTCACTTTACTGACCTGGAAGTAGGAACTTTCACACAAAACATCTTGGCAGATGTCCAGGTGGTTCAGCGGTGACGGCTGACTGTCTTCACTTCCCTCCGCGGCAGGCACGCTGAGCTGCCGGGCCTGGGCAAACGACTGGAGGTAATGGGACGCCACCGTCCAGAATGTGAGGTCGGACTCGTCCCCGAACAGCCTGGGGTTAACCATAACGATGCGTCAGCGGGGTTAGAGGGGTCAAAGTAATTAGACACATTCTGTCGTTTGCTTTTCTCACTAATGAGCACAGGTTCTGTATGTTGCAGCCCACGCCTTGTTCTTTCAGTCAGCTCCTCTCCTCGTGTTTTAAAAAAAAAAATCATTTACTCCCCGCAGCATCCTTTAATATAACTGCACAGGCACACAGCTGTTACTAGGTTACCCTGCGACAATAACAGCAGCACAGAAACCTGGCTGGCAAGACACAGAAACATAATGACGAATGTTCTGTGACTCGTTGCCGCATAATTAAAGAAACAAACAAAAACACACAGGAAAATCAAGGATGTATTACAGGACGCAAGCCGGAGAAGATGTTACATTCCTGCTCAGACCGGCAGATCCAGAACTGTGAGACGATGGAGGGAAATGAGAACCGAAGCAAAACGAGATCAGAGTTGCTGCCTGCGGCTCGCGTCACGCTTACAGAACTGCACTGAACACGCACAGTAAGGCTACCATTTATATTATTGGCAGATGCTTTTTATTACGCCGTACATACCGTTTGTATTTCCAAATTAAAATGTGTATTTTAAAATAAGCAGAAGCCAGCTTTGCACTTTTATTAAAAAAAAAAAGATAATTTTATGATGAGAAGGGACTGAATTACAGCTGCTGTGGCCAAACCTGGTACATGCTGATATGTGTGAGGTCTGTTAGCTCTCAGAATTATGTGTTCAGAATGACTCTCAGCTACTACCACGCCAAATTTTAGCATCTGTAAAAGTGATTAAAAATATTATCGTCTGCCTTGAGCTTTCAGCAGCAAGAGGAAGGAGAACAATAAAATCATGCCTCACTCAGCTGGTCCATGTATTTTAAACAGTTACCGTTTTAGGTTATATTTAGCACATTTGTGTAAAACTTTACACGTCGTGTGTTTTTCTCTTCCTGTGTCGTACGATGTGCACACTGAGGAAGAGCGGAGACCTAAAACTCACCGTGAGACCAGGAGGCAGCGTTGCAGAAGACTGAGCTCTGGGTCCTGAAGGACGCTCTTCAGGTCGCTGGGGAGCCAATCAGAGAAAGACGATCAGAACCCGGCCACAGACAATTACATCACTGAAGCACATTAGGCCCAGTGTGGCTGTTCATCTTCTCTGTCAAACCACAGCTCCAAGACCTTTATACACCAACAAAATCACATGAAACTGCTCTGGTGAGGCACATGAATACACACCGTGTTTAAACCCTTCCTGTTGTGTTAGTGCGTCTCCTCCATCAATCACCACCTCACCGTGGTGTTTGGATGGATGGACGTTTATGATGGATGGAAGAATGGATGGATGTTCGGATGGATTGATAAATGATGGATAGATGGATGGATGGATGGATGGATGGATGATGGATGGATGATGGATGGATGTTTGGATGCATTTATTCATTCAACCTTTATTTATACAGGTTAATCTCATTGAGCCTCAGGGACTCATGATGGATAGATGGATGGATGGATGGATGGATGAATGATGGATGGATGGATGTTTGGATGCATCCATTCATTCAACCTTTATTTATACAGGTTAATCTCATTAAGCCTCAGGGACTCATGATGGATAGATGGATGGATGGATGGATGGATGATGGATGGATGGATGTTTGGAAGCATCCATTCATTCAACCTTTATTTATATAGGTTAATCTCATTGAGCCTTAGGGACTCATGATGGATAGATGGATGGATGAATGGACGGATGGAAGATTGGATGGACAGATGAATGGATGGATGATTGGATGATGGATAGACGTTTGCATGAATGGTGGATGTTTGGAAGGATGGATGAATAGATGGATGTTTGGATGGATGGATGTTTGGAAGGATGGATGAATAGATGGATGTTTGCAAGGATGGATGACTAGATGGATGTTTGTTTGGATGGATGCTTGAATGGATGTTTAGATGGATGTTTGGATGGATGCTTGAATGGATGTTTAGATGGATGTTTGGATGGATGTTTGAATGGATGTTTAGATGGATGTTCAGATGTATGTTTGGATGTATGTATGTTTGGATGTATGTTCAGATGTATGTTTGGATGTATGTATGTTTGGATGTATGTTTGGATGTATGTTTGGATGGATGTATGTTTGGATGGATGTTTGAATGGATGAACAGAAGGATGTTTGGATGGATGTAAGAACTCACTTTGACAACGAGTTGAGCTGCTCCTGGATCAGGCCTTTGATCTCCACTTTTTCTGTGTAATCTCTGTAATGGAAGATCAAAGTTAAGTGAAATGTGATCTCTTCAGCTTTGCTAAAATAAAAAAAACAAATGTAGCTTCAAGTGTGAGCCTCAGAAGCTGCCTGTGAAGAGAAGCTGCCTGTGAAGAGAAGCTGCCTGTGACGAGAAGCTGCCTGTGACGAGAAGCTGCCTGTGAAGAGAAGCTGCCCGTGA